GAGTTGAATTATATATAATTATATAGTTGAATTATATATGATATATATATATATATATATATATATATATATATATATATATATATATATATATATATATATATATATATATATATATATATGCATAATACTGTGTTCTGAAATTTAATATGTAATGTTAAGTGTTGAAGGTACTCTAGGTTTATAATGCAAATTATTAAAAGTAAAGTTCATATGGAATGTTATATAATCATAATGACATAAGCAATGAAAACCATGACAGGGAATGGTAGTATGAAAAGTAGAAGAGGTATGAATAAGGATAGATAATTACACATTACAATGATTTCTATCACTGTGTAATGCAAAGTGTATAATTGCAACCTAGTGGATTTTAGGTGGTGATTTCAGTAAATAATGTTATTAGTAGATTGTGAGAGAAATGAAGGAAGAGGATTTTTTCGTAATAGTATTGGCAGCATCAAAGAAAATAGCACTACTACTACTATTACTACTAGAATAGAGATGATGATAATGCTAACCACGATGGCAATAACGATTATAGTAAATAATAAGATAATGTTAATAACAATAATGATGATAATAAGAATACTGATAGCAGTTGTAGTAACGATTATAACAGTGATGATAAATTAGTAATAATAGTAATGATAATAGTCATGGTCATGATAACAGTAATAGTAGTAGTAGGCCTAACAATAATTCTTCTCCTTTTTTTCTCTCTCCTATCCCTCTTTCCTTTCTTTCTAACCTCTCCCCTCGGATAGTCGTGTAAATAATAAATGTGCATAATAATGAAGGTCTAACTACTTCAATGCAGTGTACTTGCCCCGAAGAAGAATAATGATGATGGTAATGATAATAATAAAGATATTATAAAAAAAAAAAAAAAAAAAAAAAAAAACAAGGATAATAAAGTAATAATCGGATTTTCATAGATACGTAATAAGATGTAAAAGTTAACTAATACTAACACCTTGTTAATCAACATCATTAAAACAGCGTCACCAACAGATGTCACTGCTAATGCTACCATGTCATTCCACGATCAGGGACGGCGTGTGTCGCCTCAGCAGACAGGACCGAAGGACTCAGCCGCTCAGCTTCCGGCCGGCCTCGCCCTACGTGCAGTACATCGAGAACCAGTGCGCGCCAGGTGGGGGCTCTGCTGTTCTCGGTTTTATTAACGCTTTGGGATATTTATGCGCACATACGTGTATATATAGAGAGAGATATAGATAGGTAGATAGATAGGTAGGTAGATAGATAGATAGGTAGATAGATAGATAGATAGATAGATAGATAGATAAATAGATAGATAGGTAGATAGAAAGATAGATAGATAGATAGAGATTTCTATGTATGTTTGTACTCAGACACGAACACAGTAGCAAGTATACGAAAATGACAAGGGAAAACATCCACCATTTCTTACTGTGGCTGTTTTCCTTTTCCTTTTTTATATATCCCCTTAATCATTATGAATCCCTTCACCTGGGTGATATATTACTTTCACAATAAGAGGAATAAACCAAGGCCTCTGACCCCCTTATAGCCCGGTAATAGTTCCTGCTTCTTCCCCGCCAGCCACGCAGCAGCAGCAGTGCGAGTTTGAGGAGTTCCCGGAGCAGGACTTGGGTCACGGCGACAAGCAGATAGCAGTCAGGTCGAAGGAGGAGGTGAGGTTTGATTTGATAGTTATGATTATTGTGAATTTTTGTTGGTGTTGTGATCATAATGGTGATGCTTATGCTGGTGACGAGGATGAGGAGGTGACGATGATGGTATAAAATGGTTGAGATAATGTCAGTGATGGCAATAGATAATAATATCAGTAATAGAAATGACGATAATGATAATAGTGTTAACGGAGATGAGAGTAATAATAGCACTCATCACAATCTAGTCTAATCACACTTGATTATCTAATACTCTTAGCCTCATTTGCATTTAGTCAATTCCTACCTATTCAAATCCCCCCTTCAACTGCGCCCTTGAGCCTCACCCCACCCCATCTCCTTCGCCGCAGTGCCAACAGGCGTGCGAGTCGGAGGGCGCTTTCCACTGCCGCTCCTTCGCCTGGTTCGAGCGGGCCGGCGTCTGCAGGCTCTCCGGGGACGACCTCATCTCGGCGGGGCCCTCGGCGCTCGGGGACCTGCCGGGCGCCACGTGGCTGCAGAGGTCGCCGTGCCTGGACTGTGAGTTGGGGGAAGGGAGGGGGGAGAAGGGGAGGGGGTGGAGGAGAGGACGGGAGGGTGCGTGGGTAGGTGAGAGGGGAAGGGGAAGGAAGGAGCGAAGGAGAGAGAGGTATTAGATGGGAAAGTAAATATATGTATAAATATGAATATAAATATAAATATATATATGTATATATATATACACATCAAGGTGGAAGAATAAGGGAGAAGAAGAACCAAAAGAAAAAGATAACAAGAATGAGACAGTGAAAAAAAAATTACAACATTCACATCCACAATCCACCCAACCTTCTCCACCGCAAGCTGTTCATCCACCTGATCCTCTCTCCACAGTGGAACTCGGCTGCACTGTGGACGCCATGACTGTTCACCTGAACACGCCAGAACCCTTCAAAGGACGCCTGTTCTCCAGAGATTTCCCAGCGAGTTGTCAGTCCAGAGATATTGGCAGAACTGACACCACCCTCACCATTAAGGTTTGTGACTGGGAGGCGCTGATTGTGTGTGAATAGGCCTTCGACTATAGTATGTTGAGCTTGAGTCATGTTTTTCTCTCTTTTCTTGTTAAGATTCGCTCTATTTAAGATGATCTTTTGGATTTTTTCCCTTTCTTTTCCAATCACCAGTTTTTAGTCGATAATTTACTCTGTATCACTTAACGCCCTCATTCCTTAATTCCAGATTTTCCTCCATTCTACTAAAAGCTTTTTTCACGCCAATCCTAACAGTTCAACGATCCGGAATGCGGCGTGGTGAACGAGGGGGACGGTGTCTACAGTAACGTCGTGGTGGTTCAGCATCACCCTGTCATTCAGCGGAGGGGAGACAAGGCGATCAAATTAATGTGTTTGTTTGAGACTTCTAACAAGACGGTTACTGACAGCTTTAACTTCATTGTGGAGTAAGTATCGTGTGGACGTGTGTGCTTGTGGGGAAGGGGTATGTTTGTGTTTGTTTGTGCTTGTGTTTGTTTTATTGGCAGGCTTGGGTGTTTTGTTGATTGATTTTATTTTTAGTGTGTTTGTGTTCACTTTGCGTTTTAATGTGCATAGAGAGAAGGGTAAATTTATATAACGTATGCATGTGTGTGATATACATCTTCATTTCTAGTGCAAATAGTTCTAATAGTTTAAAATAATTTTCTTCTAATCAAACTATGAATCCATGTATTCATTCATTCAATAGCTCCACTACCAGAGTATTCATTCATTTATTTACTCAGTCGATTATCTATTCAATTAATATAGATTTATTGCGTTCAAGGCACGGGTGAATTGAATTTTGCCCGCCTGAGAGGGTCACCTCGCTACTTTTTGCCCATCATTTAGAAGTCAATCTGTCCGTTTGTCTGTCTGTCGATCTTCATTTCATTTTTACATCCATCCTTTCTTCTTCCATTCCTTGACGACAGCGATCGTCAACGTGACGTTCGGTTTCCGCTTCTTCGGTTGCTTCATCAATTAGTCTATCTTTTTATCTGTCTATCAACTTGTTCCCTTATCTATCCATCCCTTTCTCCATTTATTAACCTCTCTCTCTTCCTATACAAACTCGAACACCACGACGGCCCCGTCTAAATTCTTCCATTCCTTCACTAATTTATCGATCTTTTATCTATCTATCTGCTTATCCATCCATCCTCTTACCCCCCCATTCACCAACCTCCCCCTCCTTTCCCCAGCAACTCGATCAACGCCGGCGTGGCGACGGCGATCGTGAACGCGACGGCCCCCTCGCCGCGCATCCGCCTGCGCATCGTGGACCGCCTCGGGAGGGACATCAACGGCGCCAGGCTCGGGGAGGAGCTCTTCCTCAGGCTCGAGCTCGACGACGACAGTGAGTGTTCGGAGGGAAGGAGATGCGCGGGGGCTGGGGGGGAGAGGGTGGCGGTGAGAGGCAGGGGGAGGTGATGGCGGGGGCTTCGGGAGAGTGGAATTTGTGGGGGAGAGGTGATGGTAGTGTTTGGAGGAATAGAGATGGTGATAACAACGATGATGGTGAGTGTAAAGGGGACTGAGTGTATTAGGGGTTGATGTTGATGATGATGATGGTGAGTGTGTGATAACAATGATGACAGTCAGAGTTTTTTTGTTTGTTGTATTTATTGCACTTCAAGGAATCTGTTTGTGAGCCCCAGAGAGTCGGTGACGTTTTGGTTGCGAGCTAGACCCGTCTTTCTCCGCCTGTGTCCATGTCTTTCTGTATCCTATTGTCGAGGACATGTCCTTTTACATGTGGTGGCTCCCTGCGATGCCAGTGTGCGAGGCAGCTACGTCCGGCGATGGCGTAGGCTCAAAGAGGAACTCCGGCAGGAAGCCCAGTCTATGCACAGTCGGGGACAGATGGATGACGCGCCAAAGTCCGGTCTCGTTGGATGTTGATGGCGATAGTGATCGTGTGGGGGACTCAGATACGTGGGAGTCTGGTTGTTTGCTTAGAGGATGGTGAGTGGGAGTCCTTAAGGTAGATAATAGTGATGGCAGTCGTTTAGGAGAGTTTCCATTCAAGACGAGTCGTGTAGTTTTGGAAATAATGATAATGTCAGTGTTTGAGGGAAAATAACGAAGATGGTGAATGTTTGGGGGAACTATGTAACGTGAGGATTTGGGAAGGTCATGATGATAGTGACTTTTTGGGAGACCAATATACATGGGAATTGTTGTGAATATAAGAAGATGACAAGTGTGTGATGACGCTCATGATAGTGGCCCTAAAGGAATAATAGCGTAGTTACGAATTAAAGGTGGTATAAGTGCGAGATTGTGGAAATATTATGTATATGGTGGCAGTAATGACAGTGAG